AGAGGCTATTGTGAACAGTTCACATTCACAAAGGATTATACTTAATTAAGCCATTGAGTTAGCTTAATTGGCTGTTTTTCTTAGTGTAGAAAAAATTAATAGTGATCTTATGAGTACATCGTTGATTGGATGAAATACCATGAATAGAATAGTTTTTATTATGACCGCATCTGTAGTAATGAGACCTGTTTCACTGGCATTAATTTGAACAAAATTGTAAAGACCAAGAAGTGAGGTTTTGTTCTAGTTAGGTCTGTTTAAGAAAATGTCCTACTAAATGAATTCTTAGACATGACAGGTGGCTCCATGATTTTCTTTTTCAAAAGAGATTTCATTAGCAGTGTTTGCTGTCTGCATGCTGTAGGAAAGGCTCCCTTTCTTAGTGCTTAAGAGCTCAGAGCTGATCTCGTATTTGATCATGTGCTGCAGCCTGAGGGCTGCCAGGCTTGAAGTGTTGGGGCTTATTGGCTAGGTTCCTTGTGGGCTATTTGCTTAATGGCACTGCTTAGTAGGAGCTCCCCTCTGGGTCTCTGATGTCCCCTCTGGCCCTGTTGACTTGAGGATTGCTAATCTTCAGGGAGAACAGAGGAAACTGAGGACTTTGGTTTCCTGGTTTCTTAATAGCCATTAAGTAAGAACCTAAAAAGAGGAGTCTGCCGTTCAGATGCTGCTTTTTGTCTTATTTTTCCTTTTAATTATAAAAAAGTTTAAAATCCCTGTTTTAAAACACAGCTCTACTGTTGTCTTTATTTTTTCTTAAAAAAAGTTGCAAACTCCTTACTGCCTGTTGGGTGAGGTTCCCAGGGTGACATCCTGGCTCTCATTGTCCTATCATAGCCTTCATTCCTGGGTTGCCCATTACCACACCCTTCACCGACCTCTTCTTAGCCCCTGGCAGGCTGCAAGTTCCTGAGCCTGTCTCAGAGCTCAGGGTTGTACTGCTCGGGTTTCTTCCTCTAGAATGCTGGAGGAGCATGTTTCTCCTTGGCATATGTTGCCAACACTCCTGTTCTTAAGGTTTTGAATTGTGGCCAATCAGATAGGTGAGAAATGTTATTTCGGTGGAGTTTTGATTTTCATTTCTCTTATTCTAAATAACGTGCATTTGGAGTAAGTGAATGTAGTCATCCTTGTCTTTGTTTTTGGTACTCAATGAAATGCCAGCAACCCCTGAGCTCTCTCCCTTCCAACAAGGGCCTCATGTTTCACATCCAGCAATAATATTCCTCTTCTCTGATGCTGAGAATCCTTCGGTGTAAGGTTAACTGGTCCCCACCTGCCTTTTCGTGGCATCCTGCATGTAGTTCGGGGATGCCCCAAAGGGAAGGACCTTGGTTCTCCACCTTTACAGCTTCAAGGCCTGGCAGATGAGTGATGCTTCCTAAGAATTACTGGATACATTGAAAAAGTCATTTAAAAATCATGTATGACATGAGAAGATTATATTTTTTACTTGAATTCTGAAAGTCTAAAGCTCATGGTTATACTTTTAACTTCATTGTTTTTATCTATATTATTCCATAGTTTTATTAAAGGAAAGTCTTTGCAATGAGGGAAATACAGTATATCAAAATTTTAACAGTTTGTACAATATTTCTTTTAATTTTTTTAAGTAATAAATAAAAATATTTCTTATAAAAAGCATAGCAGCATCATATTGTCGTCTTTGTAAATTAATCATTTTCAAACTCCAGAATAAATCTGTGCTATAGGCAGATCTGGTGGCCAGTAATTGAAAGCCTACCCTGTACACTGGTTCTAGTTAATGTATTTTTGCCCCTGCCAGATGAAATATTTCTGTAATATTAAACTTTTTATAATGCCATTTTCTGTTCTTGCTTATAATCCTAACACTTCAGATGGAGCCTAGGTTTAGTCGTTTGGCAACTTAGTGAGACTGTCTCAAAATAAAAATTTTTTAAAGGGTTGGGATATAACAGTGCAAAAGCCTGGGTTCAGTCCTTGGTACTGAAAAAAGCTATTTCTGAGATAAACTGTCATACATTGCAGAAGTGTTAGGGCAGAGGATAAGAAACATTTACATGTTGTACATTAGAAGACATCAGTTTTTATTGGAAATGATGAAGTTGGAGATTGCAGTAATGGTAATCTATTGCTGAATTATTCTGCTTCAGTTTTTAATGTTATTTTAGTGATACTGTATTTCTTTTAAGGGATGGTTCCCACCTCTTAAAAAAGAGGAAGGGAGGTGAGAATGACATATAGGATAATAATTGTTAAAGTCAAGGATTAAAATAACAAGGGACAACAAACAGATACATTCATTTCTAAGAAAAAATATGAGACCACCTAAAATGATGGAAACAGCCTCAATGTTTTATAGAGGAAAGCATAAATAAATCATAGTGGTTTTGCCCAATGGGTTAAGCAATGTTAAAACAATGTTAAAATAATTAGAAAGGAAGACCTTGTATAAAACAAAATGTTTTAATGTTGAGTAAAAAGTTTATGGCTACTGTGTGTTCATAATTATACATATATGAAGAAAAATGGACAAAAATGAGAATTGAGGTAGGAATGTACATTATTTGTATTTTTAGTCTCATTTCTGCTATAAATATTACTGTGTAATAAAAATACAGAAAAATGCAAAGAATGTGATCAACTCAAGAGGGAAATCAAAACAAAACAGAAGATGAAAGACAACTCAACTTTTACATAGTTATTTACTGAGTCACAGAATTTTAGAAATGCAATTCTTTCTCAGTACATTTAAAAATTTTTGGTTTCAGAGCTTCAAAATTAAAAATTATTGGAACCTCTGAAGAACTTTTGTTTATGTGGTTTATACCAGTATTTTCGTATTACAAATTTAAATTGAGAAAGTTCATGTAAAAAATTGTTATTAAAAATAGCAATGATAAACTTGTGTTTATATAAATAACATTTATGAAAAATAACAAACTGTTTTATGAAAAATAACTGATAAACCCATTGCATGTTAACATTAAATAATATGTTTATGAAAAAACAACTGTATATTCCAAAGCAAAAATCTATTGGAAAGCATGCTAGTGCTTTGTAGTATTTTCCAAATCTCTAAGATTTGGCTCAGAGGAACACAACTGGATTGTCATATCTGCTTATGAATTCAATCTTTTGCGCTATATTGTTTGTTTAAAGCATGGGGAAAATACCTGGTTTCACACAGCTCTGTAGCTGTAAGAAGGAGCAGTCTCTTCATAGCCTTTTCAGGTAATTGTGGCTGGATCCTGTTGCCTCTGGAAAACCTCGCTGTATACTTAAGGAGAGAATCAGATTGAAATTGGCAGGCATATTGTTGTCTTAGTATTACAAAAGCAGTTTTGGCCCATGGCCTCTCTGAAAATTATTAAGACTACCCCCGGAGGCCTGACCACACTTTGAGAACTACTGTTTAAGTCTTTCAGGATGAGAAAACTGAAACCCAGAAATGTTCAGTATTTTCCCAAATCACAGGGTTGATGGGAGACAGAGGACACAGCTCCTGCACTCTCATTCCTCGTGCCTTTGGAGAACTTTAGGACTTGGTTGAAACTTTGGAAATTGATCCTGAGTGTATAGATGAGGATCTTACCCCAAAATATTTTTTTTTTTTTTGGTCTTTTCTCCTTTTTATCGGTACTGGGGATCGAACTCATGACTGCCTGCTTGCAAGGCAGGCGCTTATGCCGCTGAGCTAAATCCCCAGCCCCCAAAATATATTTTTTATTTTAAAGATTTAAAAAAAATTATTTCATGGAGGAATCAAAACCTTTTAAAGAAAGTAGCATTCAGATTATAAGTAGATTTGTAAAAATGTAATTTTAAGTAAATACATAAAGGTGTAAAAATATTAAATATTAAATTTATGAAAAAGTCTAGGACATATTTTATTTTGGTTTAAATTTTCCTTATTGGTTATTTGCATGCCCACAGTGTGAGGTATTGTCCACGTCTCCCTCCATTCAGTCGTTGGGTTGTATTCTGGCATTTAGTGTTGTTCACTCATTTATCCTGGACCCCACAAGAGTCTCAGGAACAGCAAAGATATAGGTGTCCCTTTTGCTGGCACAGAGGTGTGGGATGAACACTAGACTGCCTCCTCAGGCATACACAAATCTCAGCCTCTCCCTTCTTCCCCCTGCTGTCTCTGCCCTGCATCTAACTTCCCCTCGCTTGCTACACCTTTTCCAGGTTTTTGATGGGATGTGTGTCTGTACTTCTTTGGAGTGGATGGTGAAGTAGGGCCCATGTGTCCAGGTTGTAAGTTACAGACGCCCCTGTCAAGTAGTATGGCCCTATCAGCTCCTTTTTTCTTTCTCTTTGTGGCTAGAAAGGTATTTTGTGGGTTGGCAGAAAGAAAAAGAAAATTTATTAATTTGAAATATTAATGAAAATTTTATCTAGCTACATTATGTATCTTCTTCTGTCTTTGTCTAGGATATAATCATGTCAGTGTTTCACATAAAATGGAAGTGTTCTGTTTAAAAAGAAATTAGAGAAAACTGCAGGGTACCCCAAGTTTCTATTTTCTTTTCTGTAAATGAGTTGTTAAATAATGTCTCAGAGTATTTGACCTTTGTTTTATTATTTATTCAGCAGCAACTTATTAAGTGCCCATTATGTGCCAGACACTGTTGGAATGCTGGAAGCGTTGTAGGCAGCCAGACCTCAGAGTTCTAGTCCTGGCTGCGTGTCTGATGTAGACGGGGCCATTACCATTCATTGAAATGCTTTGTTCCTGTTTTCTCATGTGTCAGATGAAGACACCAGTATTCAACTTGCTTATTTTAATACAGTAGTCTTAAGATGTAAATAAAATATATGGAAATGCATTTTATGTAGTAATTATATGTAATATAGTATGTAGTAGTAATTGTAATAATTGTAAAATTTTTGTTTTGTTGGAAGATTTCACATGCAGTGCATTCCTGCTTAGTTGGGTGAATAATAAATTAACTTAATCTTGAAGTTTGGAATTACTTAAAAGATAATATTTGTTTTTCTTCTGTTTACAG